GACAATTTAAAACTTAAACCGTCAAACCAAAATTACTAGTGTCGATCGACACCCGACCACAGTGTCGATGGACACCACCCGGATTTCCAGACACGGGCGTTACAGTAATGCAACAAGACGATTTAACCTAGCTTGGTTTGAAAAATACGATACTTGGCTAGAGTATAGTGTATCAACAGACAGAGCTTTTTGTTTGTGTTGCTACTTATTTAAAGGTGACGGATGGAAGCAAGGTGAGAGTGATGCATTTGTGAAAGAAGGGTTTTGTCTCTGGAATAAACCTGAAAGGTTAGAAACTCACATAGGCGGAACCAGCAGTTTTCACAATTGTGTTGTAGAGAAGTGTGATAACTTAATGAAGCAAGCCCAGTCTATCAAACATGCTTTGTTTAAGCATAACGATGTGGTGAAGAATGAGTACCGCATTCGTTTAACTGCTTCAATTGATGCTTCCAAATATTTGTTGCGACAAGGATTGTCTTTCCGTGGTCACGATGAGTCAGAAGAATCTGCCAATAGAGGAAATTTCTTGGAACTAGTGAAATACATAGGAGAACAGAATGATGCTATAAGTAAGGTTATTTTGAATAATGCTCCGAAAAATAACCAGATGATTGCTCCTAAGATTCAGAAATAGATTGTGAATTGTTTTGCAGAAGAAGTAGTGAAATCGGTTATTCAAGAAATTGATCATGGCGTCTTTGGTCTGTTAGTTGATGAGTCTGCTGATATATCTCACAAAGAACAAATGGCGGTTGTATTTCGATTTGTTGATAAGAGCGTAGAAGTGAAAGAAAGGTTTATTGGAGTTGTTCATGTTAAAGAAACTTCATCTGCATCTTTGAAATATGCTATTGATAATTTATTTGCTAAGTACGGGTTGAGTTTGAAAAAGCTAAGAGGACAAGGTTATGATGGGGCAAGCAATATGAAAGGTGAATTTAATGGCTTGAGAGCATTGTTTTCTCAGAGAAAACAATGCAGCGTATTATGTTCATTGTTTTGCTCATCAACTTCAGTTGGTGGTGGTGGCAATCGCAAAAAAACACTTTGAGGTTGGTGATTTTTTTGATATGATTTCTACATTGGTGAATGTGGTTGGAGCTTCTTGTAAAAGACAAGACATGATTCGAGAAACTTATCAAAAAGGTGCAGGAAGGAATTAGTAGTGGTGAGATTAACACGGGTACTGGATTAAATCAAGAAATTTCACTATAAAGACCTGGAAATACTCGTTGGGGTTCTCATCAGAGAACATTGTTAGTTGATTTGTTTTCTTCTATCATTGAAGCTTTTGAGTATATCCAAAATGAAGGCGTCGAAGACTCTAAAAAACGTCAAGCATATGGTCTTCTCAACTACTTTCACACTTTTGATTGTGTGTTCTATATGCAACTTATGCTACTTATTTTGGGATTAACTGAGAATTTGTCAATGGCTTTGCAAAGGAAAGACCAAGATATTTTGAATGCCATGTCATTGGTGGAATCTACTAAGAGAGAATTGCAGAAGCTTAGAGATGATGGATGGGATTCACTTATGAATAAAGTTTCATCTTTTTGTGAGAAACATAATGCTGAACCGCTTGTCATGGAAGACATCTTTGTAGATCCAAGGAAACCAAGAAGAAAAACCAATATAACCAACCTACATCATTATAAGGCTAACTGCTTCTACACTATTATAGATTTACAGCTTCAGGAGTTCAATGATCGTTTTACAGAGGTAAACACTGATCTACTTATTTGTATGGCTTCTTTAAGTCCTCTTGATTCATTTCAAGAATTTAACAGAGAAAAATTGGTGAGGTTGGCTAAGTTTTATCCAGATGACTTCAACTATGGGGAGGTTTTGTCTCTTGAGCAGCATCTTGATATCTACATTGACAATGTGAGTAGAGATTAACGATTTAAGAGTCTGAAAAGTCTTGGAGAGCTTTCCCGTTTGATGGTGAAAACCCAAAAACATCTTGCACATCCCTTGGTTTATAGGCTTTTGAAATTAGTTTTAACTTTACCAGTTGCTACAGCAAGTGTTGAGAGATGTTTTTCTGCAATGAAATTGGTGAAGACATCTGCACGGAATAGAATTGGAGACCAATTTCTACGTGATTGTCTTGTTTGCTATATTGAAAATGAACTATTTGAAGCGGTCACAAATGAAAATGAGATAAAAATGTTTCAATTGTTAAATGAGCGTCGGGTGGTTTTGTAAGATGTTTAAAAAAAAATATATGACAATTTTATGTTTTTTAATAATTTAGTATTTGTTGGTTTTTATTATATTTTTGCCCCCATTAAATAAATTTTCTAGATCTGCCCCTGTTGAGGATGTTGACCAGTGGTACAAATAATCTAGATCAAATATTGAGTATGGGAAGGACAGAGAAAACAAAATTTGGTTTTGGTTATCAAGGTGGTGCATATGGTTCTAAGATAGTTTTTGTTCAAGAAAAAATTTTGTCTGTTAAAACGAGGGAGCATATGTTGGATGTAACTCCAAAAGTTTTAGTCTTGGATTGAACAGAGGTCCATCTAGAGAGAGGTCAATCCAGACAGAGGTCTATCTAGACAAAAAGTTTTAATTTTAGTCTTGAATTTTAAGTGACCAATCCAAAATTGATACAGTGAAATGTAGAGTTTGATTGAGATAGAAAATAAAAGAGTTTGATCTTTACATTTATTTAGTTACTGACTGGTTTAAACGTTGCGGTTGCGGCTGCGAGAGTTTGCATAGAAAAAGGAAAAAAGAGAGAGATAGAGAGATAGTAAGAATCAATTATGAAAAAATCATTTTTCTTAGTGAAACTAGGTAATGTCCCGCGCATATGCGCGGGTTGTTGTATATTTATTTAATTATTTTAATTTATTTATTACTTATAAAAAATAGATTAAATAAATTTTAATGCTTATGAAATTTTTACATGTTATTTATTTAAATCATACAATAGAAGCATACATCCATATCTTTTGAATTTATTTGTTGATTAATTGTTCAATTAATCAATTTTGATAGTAATTTTCTTTAGTACTTTTAAGTATTTTTTGATAAAACAATAATATTGTTAATGATAAAAATAGGAATGATATTGGGAGAATTTAAAAAATACCCCTTTAAAAATACCACTTTTTAATTTTATTCCCTTTTCAAACTTTATCAAAACAACCACTAAAAATGTTGAAATTTATCCAAATATGTGTGTAAACTTATAAATATACACAAAAATTACCTTTATTTGTGTATAAAATTTTATTTATTTCAATGTCTTACAAATTGGTTTAAATATAACAAAAATATATTTTGTTAAAATAATTACATTCTTTGAAAATAAAATAAATATACATGAATATGTGAGAAAGAAAAAAACATATAAAGTAAAACAGTGAAAATGGTTTATTTAGCTTGATTTTCTTATGGTGCGATGGTCAGAAATCAATATTTTTGAATCCCATCGATAAAGTAATTTCCTTATACCCATAAAATATTATTATGCATATGTATTATACATTTAATAGTATAAAAAACAATGAAAAATGAAGAAGTACATAAAATAAAGAAGAAATACAATTGAAAACAAAAGTTTTAACCAAATATATAATCAAGCTCTTACAATGATATCTTAATTAAGATTTCAACCCATGCAAGAACATTAAAAATTAAACAAAGAAATATTGAGAATATCAGATATGGTGGAGGAGGATGTAAAAATGAGTATTTATAGGATAAAATATGATGTAAGTTACAATTTTAAAATAATTAAATCAGATGAGTTATAATTATATTTTATAGTGTATTAATTGAATTTAAATGGAGGAAACAAATAGTCAATTGAAAGGTTATATAATTTAAGTTACAATTTAATAGTAAAGCGTGGATTTCAAGTATGAATTAAAGTATATGACTAAATGTATTAGATATTTGGTTTAATTAAAAATAAATATTATAGTTAAAAAATAAATGCTAAATGGACCAATAAGCAGAAACCTTAAAAATTCCCAAAGAATAATTTTATTTTTTAATTTGTTTTTATATTCCTCTTAATTAAGCTATATCTCTAGGTTTAATTATATTTTTCATCGTTGTAGTATATATAATAGATAGAAAATTGAATATCCAATTGTTTTTTATATAGGAAATCAAGTATAAAATTCAAAGTTAACAAAAATTATAATGTTGTTTATATTATTACATGTTGAATCACAAACTAAATATAAGGATCATTATTCTTAAAAGAATGTCTTACAAATTGGTTTAATAATTATATAACAAAAAGTTTATTTTGTTAAAAAATTACATACTTTTGAAATTAAAATAAATATACATGAATATGTGAGAAAGAAACAAACATCCAATGTAAAATAATGAAGATGGTTTCTTTAGCTTGATTTTCTTATAACCATAAAATATTATTATACATATGTATTACATTTAAAAATATAAAAAACAATGAAGACATAAAGAAATACATAAAAACAAAAAATAAATAAAATTGAAAACAAAAGTTTAAACTAAATAATTAATCAAACTCTTACAATGATATTTTAAATGAGTTTTCACCCTATGCAAGAACTTTAAAAAAAAACAAAGAGAATAATGAAGATATGAGATATGGTAGAGAAGGATGTGAGAATAGCTATTTATATGATAAGAAGTGATGTAAGTTACATTTTTAAAATAATTAAATTAGAGGAGTTATAATTATAATTTATAGTGTGTTTAATTAGAATTCAATAAAGAAAACCAATAGTCTTTGAAAATTTATATAATATTCAGTTTCATTTTAGTAGTAAAGTGTGAATTTAAAGTATTAATTAATGTATGTGATTAAATATGTTTTTTGGTTTAATTAAAAAGAAATATTATATTTTTAAAAAATAAATACAAAATGGAACAATAAAGAGAGTGAAATCTTACTTTTTTTTTTATCAACCACACATTTATTAAAATTGAACTCCATGATTGGTAGCCCAAACTGGAGGAAAGTTGTTTACAAAAGTAACTTATGAATCAAGAGATCTGGAAGAACGAGCGAGACAATCTGCTTTTGAATTACAAGTACGAGAAATCTTAGTTAAAGAGAACGACGGAAATGATGCACGTAACAGTAGAAAATCGTCTAAGAGGTTGGAGAATGCTGGCCACTCTTGTGGGTCTTGTACCATTGCAATAAGCTCGGCACAATCTGATTCAAAAGTATGACAGTCAATCCTTCTTATAAGAATATTCTCCATAGCCCATAATAACGCTTCCAATTCTGAATGGAGAGGTGAGGGACACCCTCTAAGACATTTAGCACCTAGTATATATGTTTTCTCCTCTCCTCTGAAACACCACCACCCCAGGCCTGAAAACATATTCCCCGACTTCCACGAACCATCAATACGACAACGAACAATTAGCGAAGGGGGAGATACAGGTTCTATTGGTTCAGTTACATCAGTCAAACTAATTTGGGCTTCTTCCCATGATAATTGTTCACTTAAAGCTTGATTTATAATATCGACTGGTTCAGACTGAATTCCTTGGAACACCTTTTTATTTCTATCCTTCCATATAAACCATAAAATCTATGGAAAAAATGCTTTTTCTCCTTCTCCCTTAACCAAGGAATCACACTCCAAAAAATGAAGTCTAGATTTGCGAATCTCGAGCTATAAGGAAAACCTCCTGGGAGCATAGGAATTGTAGACAATTCCCAAATTCGTCTCGAATGCGCACATTCAAAAAGCGCATGATTAATTGTCTCGATTTCAACGCAACATTTTTTACATACCGTGTCACATTGAATCTTGCGAGAAGCTAAGGCGTCCATGACCGGAAGTGTACCCGTGGCAATTTGCCAAATAAAATGCTTGATTTTTGGTGGAGTGCGAATATGCCATGCATACGCTTTTAGAGCAGTATAGCTTGGATTCTCTTCCGCCTCTCCTATCAAATTATGTGCTAGCCAGTACCCAGATTTGACCGTATATTTTCCGGATTTTGTATAATGCCAGATCAACCTATCCGGCTTATAGGTTTTACTTATAGACATACTTCTAATGATACGAATATCCTCCGGATGCATAAATTCATTAAGAATGGGTAAATGCCACTTCTTGGTAATTGGATTAACTAAGTGATTAACCTTTAGATTTGGATGCAGTAAAATTCCTCGTCCAGAAGCTGGTCGTGGATTAATATCAGGTATCCAACGATCTTTCCACACCGAGATGTCAAATCCTGAACCGATAGACCAACGTGCCCCCTTTTCTACCAAACTCTTGGTCGATAAAATACTTCTCCATCCAAAAGATGGAGAATATGGTTTCTTTGCCATTTAGGGATGTTTATTCCTAAAGTACCTCCCTTGCAACACCCGTGCAACCAGAGAATCCGGATAAAGTATTAACCACCAATACTGTTTTGCTAACATTGCATCATTAAATTTATCCAAGTCACGAAAACCCAAACCACCTTGAAATTTTGGCTTACACATTTTATCCCATGCTATCCAATGTAAACCTCGATCTCTACCATTAGAACTCCACCAAAACTTTGAGATGGCACTCGTTAATTTTGTTGTTAAAACTTGAGGGAGTTTAAAGCAAGACATGACATAAGTAGGTAGAGCCAACGCCACAGATTTAATCAGCGTCTCTTTTCCTCCTTTCGATAAAAACTTAGCTGACCAACCATTCACCCGATCATTAAGTTTTTCTCGAACATAATTAAAAATTTTACTTTTTGAGCCACCTAAGCTTTCAGGGATTCCCAACTAGGAACTCATACCCCCTTCCTTATCTATACCAATTACGGTTTTTAACCTATCTTTGATTTGTGATGATACTTTTTTCCCAAACAGAACAGATGATTTATTAAGATTTACTTCCGGCCCTGAAGCTTTTCCATAGCTCCTAATTATTTCCATAAATTTTTTACATTGATCTTCTTCCGCTTTACAAAAGAACAAACTATCGTCAGCGAAAAGTAAATGAGAGATAGTCGGACACTCTCGTGCTAACTTTATGCCTGTCAACTTATTCTCTGTTTCTGCCTTTTTAATATTAGCGATCAGAACCTCTGTACACAGAATGAACAAATAAGGTGATAATGGATCTCCCTGTCTTAAACCTCGTTGAGCAGTAATTCTTCCTCGGGGTTGGCCATTTAATAAAACTTGATATGAAACTGATCGCACACTCCACATAATCCACGAAACCCATCTTGCATCAAAACCTATCTGGATCAAAACTGCCTCTAGAAAATCCCATTCCACTCTATCATATGCCTTGCTCATATCTGTCTTAATAGCCAGGAAATCTGATTTACATGATGCATTAGTTTTTAACCCATGAAACATTTCCTGCGCGATTAAAATATTATCAGTAATTACTCTACCCGAAACAAAGGCCGATTGTGTTTCCGAAATTAGCCTAGGTAAAACTTTCTTTAGCCTTAGACAAAGAATCTTAGAAATAATCTTGTAACTCACATTACAAAGGCTTATTGGCCTAAATTCTGCCATCCGTTTTGGTTTATCTACCTTGGGAATCAAATAAATATTTGTTTCATTCAGCCTTCTATCAAACTGTCCTGTACGGAAGAAATCTTTAACCAGAGCAACCAAATCCCCTTTTAAAGAATGCCAAAATCTTTGATAGAACAAAGCCGTCATCCCATCTGGTCCTGGAGTTTTTTCTGGATGCATAGAAAATAAAGCTTTCCTAATCTCACCCTTTGTGATCTCCTTGGTTAAATCTCTATTAATACTCTCTGTAATGAGAGGATTTACCTCTTGTACCATTTCTGAAATGCCACTCATATTAGATTTTTTAAAAAGGTCCATGAAATAATCAATGGCAATATTTTCCATACCAGAATTTGTTTCCACCCATGAGTCATCTGGACCAAATAATCCTAAGATCCTATTCCGTGCCCTTCTTTGCTTTGTGGATGCATGAAAGAATTTAGTATTTTTATCCCCTACTTTTAACCAAAATTTTCTACTTTTTTGTTGCCAGTATAACGCCTCATCACGATACGCCTCCTTTAATTTATTCTCAACATTTCTAATTTCTACCTGAGGAATTGAGTCATCGTTTTTTGCCTCCTCTAGAGCCGACTTCAAAGAGGATATTAATGCCTCACCATTGGGGATATTATTTTTTCTCCACCATGAGATAGAATTTCTGCAATTTTTTATCTTATCCACAAACACCGGGATTCTAAAATTTTTTGTTCGATTCCACCCCGATTCAACTGCCCCTGAGAGACCATCTTTGCCAATCCATCTCTTATCAAACCGAAACTGTCGTCTAGGAATTTCTAAATTTTTTTCACAATTGATTAGAATGGGTCTATGATCCGAACCAATCATAGCCAGATACTCTACCTTGGAATAAGGAAAAAGACTATGACAATCTTCATTTCCTAAAGCCCGATCAAGCCTACATCTTACCACTTGATTATTTCTTCTATATCCTTTCCAAGATAATTGATACCATAACACGGAAACTCTAACATCCCACAATCTCGGATCATTGAATTAAATAAAACAAACGAAGATGCAGGCCTCAAATTTCCCCCTAATTTTTCATGATTTCCAGTGAGCTCATTAAAATCACCGACCATGAGCCATGGAGCATTTCTGTTAGATCCTAGTTGTATTAATTTATCCCACACCGAACCCCGAAGAGAAACAACAGGATCTCCATAAACAAACGTCATAAACACAATTTGTTGTCCCAAAAGAGCTTTAACATCAATAATCCGATTACTCTCATAAAGAACCTCCAATTTTATTTCCTCATTATAAAATAAAGCTAAACCGCCGCTATAACCACGTGGTTCAACTGTATACAATTTATTGTAACCCAAACAAACTTGAAATTTTTGTAAATAAGAAAAACATTTTTTTGTCTCCGACAAAAATAGAAGGTCCGGTTTATTCTTCTTCCACACATCCTTTAAATAGTTCTCCGTCAGGTCAGCCCCTATACCCTGACAGTTCCAGCTTATGACTTTCACGTTTGAGCCGGTGGTTTCGGGAGCGCCACCGTCCCTTTCTTCGACACACGACTCTCTCCACCCGAGATGATTCCTTCCTTAACTTTGTGGTGTTGTCTGCCTACAACCTTTTGCTTAATACCATCACCTACATTTTTAGAAAGTAAAGCCTTAGCTAACAAACGTTTTCCTGGAGATGCCATAAGTAAAGCATTTCTCTTATTTGCCTTAGCACCTTTACTGCCATGAGGACCAAAGGTTTTCTGTAACAATACAGTTTTACTACCCAAGTCAACCTCTTTCAAAGCCTTACTAACTTTACCCATTTCAATACAAAAAGAATCAGAGCTACAAGACATACCTTTTCCATTAGTATTATCCTCCACATAAACATGAGTCTCGTTAGTTGAATCTTCTTCTTCAACCATTACTTGATCCTCTTCCTGGTATTCTCCGTCCTCTAATAAGTCATCCTTACTCTCTATAAATTCGAGACCAGCTGATAACTCCTTACTCTCCGTTTCCGGTTCAACTTCTGATCCGAGATCATCCTGAATTTTGCCCACCACAAGAGCCTCTGTAGTGTAAGTTGCATTGATAACAGAATTATCCACATTAGGTACCTGCTTAACTTGATACAATGGTTTTGGCCAGAGCGGTCCTGGACCTCTTCTGCCCACCTGGGAGCTATGAGCTTGAAATTGTGACCCCTCACCAACATTCCCAGCTGCACCACTCCTAAACTCCCCACTGGATTCAGCCCAGTTCCCAGGAAAACTCCTCTTATTACCCCAGGCTGCAGCATGTTTATTGAAACGTCGATAATTATGCTTTCCAGCATTCCTCTCTTCCACGTGATACTGAAAACTCCCATTGTTATCCTCACTGTGAAAATCCAAAGCTCTCTTTGCGGTCACCTTCCTTGGTTTTTCCCACCCTCCCTCATGCTTTTGTGCATTTTGTTTAGCCAACAGTTGTTGTCTAGGAGGCCCTCTCCTGTCAGCTTGGTCGTCAATCACTCTATTCCCAGAAACCCTTCTTAACTCTGGACAAGCACCAGCCTCATGAGTTAACCTAAAGCAATGTTCACAGAACCCAATAAGCTTCTCATACTCCAAAGAAACCACTACTTCATCACCTGTATCAAAAGGAACCACCAATTGAAACATAATGGGATTAAAACCATTAACAGTGACATAGATACTACCAGTATCTTCATCAATCTCCCTAATTAAACCCAGCTTCTTCCCAATAGCTCGTAATGTTGCTTCTTCCCACAGATGAATCGGGATCCCAGAAGCTTTAACCCCAAAATTAATAGCTGATGGGTAAGTACTTGATATGATGGGCTCCCAACGAACCAAAGCTATCATCCACCCATCAAAATGATAAGGCACGTTATGCAAAACCCCCTCAAGCTCCTCCTCGGAGTCAAAATTAAACTGAAAAGTCCCCTGTCCCAAATCTGCTCCAACGACCTTATCTTCCAACTTCCAGATCTTAGGCATATTTGCCACCAGAGAATCCATCCTCTGAATACTTGGGTTCATCAACCTCCCAATAAGGGTAAGGGAGAACTGTTGAATCCGTTGTGACAGAGCCGAACCAGAGATCTTCACCGTCTCGGTACGAACCATCACTGCCTTTCCCTTATTCAAAGCAACTGAGCCATAATACACCCCCAAAACCAAAACCGACACCCTTCTTGAAAGATGAAGGAACAAAGCCAAAAGGACTGAAAAATCAAGTATTGTTTAGTAGAAATGAAAGCAGAGATGAGAGAGACCCTTGACTCTCGCCTCTGAATATATACCCACGAAAAAGGAATAATCCCCCATCCTTCTTTGGTTAAGCCACATAAAGAACGAATCCACAAAACTTCCCATAAACGACCAACAATTGCCTTTTGGAATCTCTCTGTATTGATAAAAGAGATGTGATGTGTGATTCTCAATCGGCAAATCGAATCGTAATATCTCTTCATAATTCCTAAAGATATTACACTCCAGCCTAGAAAATCCTTACATTGAAACAAACGGACTTGATCAATGATAAGTCTGTATTTCATTGCTTTTTGAGTATGCATTCATCATCTATTCAGCATCATTCACTTGTTGATTCGCATCATATTGATCCCTTTCTGCATGTTTTACATACTTAGGTAGGTTTTATGCATATCATGCATATCATGCATATCTTGCATACATTGTGCATATTTGGAGTGTCTCAGGTACTTAGGAGACATGCAGAGCGAAGCAGAGGAACAAGCGTTACTCGACATGCACACGATCGAGTGGGAGGATCGAGTGAGAAGCAAGGATGAATTGCAGT